AGTTGTTTCTTTATATATTTTCAAATTGTGCATCTGCATTTTTTTTAAACACCTCATGCCTCTGCAAAAAACAGAAATTCATTTATTTTCAAGTGAACTCATGATAAAAAATGACAAAAAAAATCCAGTTTTTCTTTATATATATATATATATATATTTTTTTTTTAAAATCGAATTCAGTTTTTGATTTTTAAAAAATCCTAAACAAAGTCGGATTCCAAAAAAACAAAATATGGTGTTGTAGGGCTTAAAATTCCCTACAAACCCATATATTTTTATTTTTTTTGTAACCTATTATTTAATTCAGGAAAATTCTGGTAAAATCAAGTCCGCGATGTGGACCAGGTCGGCCGCGGACGCGGACCCGTCTGCGTCCGCCATCCGAGATCGGACCCGCGGACGCGTCCGCGTGTGTTTCATAGGAACACGGTCTTCAATCCCGGCTTAGACTCTCTAAAAATCCACCAAGTCAGGGCGGATACCATGATTCTGTCGAAATTTATGGAATCCCATAACTTAGTTGATGTTTTTCGATTACTGAACCCAGATGATAATGGTTTTTCTTGGTTCGGTCCCAAACCCAGTAAGCGCACCCCAGCTCCCAAAAAGCGTTTGGATTTTTTCTTATTTAGGGGTACGCCCTGGATAGATGTATGTCTTGCGAAGCACAAATAGGTACCCTTTCAGATCACTACCCTGTGACGTTAGACATCATCTCTAGGGACTTTATAGAAAGACACCGCCCCCCTTTCCGTTTGAATGTTAATCTGCTAAGAGATGAGGGGATATCTAAATGGGTTTCAGCCCACATGAAAGCTTGGAAAGGGGCTCAGGATCTGTTCAGAGACCCCAAAGAATGGGCCGACACCGGTATATCTATAGTTAGAGCTGCTTTGGTGGAATTCTCAAGGATGAAGGCCGCCGCCCGAAATTGGAAAGAAATGTCACTAGAAAAGGTTGTCAGAGACGTGGAAAACAAAATGGGCAGGGACATTTTCTCTGATTATTATTAGTCGGATAAAAGAATGAAAGCTCTGGGCGAGCTTGAAACACTGCAGATTCAACAACAAGGCGTTGAAACTTAGAGGTATAATAGGTTATGATAGGATGACTAAACTGTCTTTTAGAACTTTATTGCTTAGGAAGTCTAACTCCTTAGTAAGAGAGCTGACTCACCCTTTCGCTATTAATGCCCTAGTAGCAAATGACACTATTTCCATGTGCGAGTACGCTCTGGAATATTATAGGGACATTGTGACGACTAGAAGACCTTTTGATGCCCCAAACATAAATCTGGCCGAGTACTCGGATTTTTGGGAAGCCCCCTATGCGACTTTCTCTCAATCTGCTAAACAAGGGTTGGACCAGCCCATGACCGAAAGAGAATTGCTGTCTGCAGCAAAACTCATGGCTAAGGGCAAGTGTCCCGGTCTGGACGGGCTCCCTGTGGAACTTTTTCTAGCCTCCTGGCAGGCTTCTGGTCCCTTTTTGTGTGAAATATATAATAGGGCTTTGGTAACAGGGTCATTTCTAAAAAAATTCACCGTGGGAATGATCTCCCTCCTCTATAAAAAAAGGGACAAAAGGGAAGTGTGTAATTGGAGGCCGATCTCGGCCCTCAATGTTTCTTACAAACTGTTTGCTAAAGCACTAGGCCTGAGGTTGGCAAAGTTTCAGCCTTGATCGGGTGGGAACAAGGCGCCTTTGTCAAAGGGCGCTCGATATTTGATAATATTTTAGCTACGGTTCAGGCACTCGAAGTAATTAGTAAGGAAAAGAGAGATGTGGCAGTCCTTCTCCTGGATATGGAGAAGGCTTATGACAAGGTTGGTTGGAGCTTCGTTCATACTACTCTAAAAAGTCTGGGGTTTGGCCTGGGTTTTTGCAGATGGGTGAAGGCCAGCTACGTAGACGCATCCTCAGTGGTTATAGTAAATGGTAGATTATCTGACAGTTTTCGACTCTCTCGCTCATTAAGGCAGGGCTGTCCTTTAGCCCCCCTACTCTTTGTTCTTCAATTGGACGTTTTACTGAATAATATTCAGAAAAATGAGACAATTAAAGGTCTCCAATTAACTCGGACATCTCAATAGAGAGGGGGTGCCGTTGCAGATTATTTAACTATAGCTAGTGAAAACGCGGTAGAATCCTTTCAAGAATTGAGGTCAGTTATCGATACCTATTGTACTTTATCTGAAGCATCCATAAATTGGGGCAAGTCGGTTTTCTTCCTCCCCCCTACCCAAAGTTTGTGTGTCAATTGGGGATTGAGGCAAATCGCGGCTAACTCCTCAGACCGTTTTCTGGGAATTCAAGTTTCACTTTCGCATTGTGCAGAGGCGCAAGATGATATCTTGGCTGGGAAGGTGTCAGCCAGAATTGCAGGATGGTTTCGTAGCCACAAATTATCACTTTATGGAAGAGCCATGATTCTTTCGTCAGCGACTTTCTCCATTTTTTGGTTCCCCCTCTCTGTTCACTTGCTGGGAGGTGGTGCATATGCACAGATGAGAACGGCGGCAGCTCGTTACCTCCGGAAACCGG